GTGTGTGACGTGTGTGATATGTGTGTGATGTGTGTGATATGTGTGTGTGATATGTGTGTGTGATACATGTGTGATATGTCTATGATATGCATGTGGTATGCGTGTGATATATGTGTGACATGTGATATGTGTGTGTGATATGTGTGTGATGTGTTTATGCACACATGATGTGCATGCATGCAGTCATGTATGCCATGTGTGCGTGCGTGGGAGATATGTACAAGCATGATTTGTGTATGTTCAAGCGCGACTTCTGTGTGTGGGATCATGTATGACGTCTGTACATACATGCTGTGTGTGTTCAAGCATGATTTGTGTGTGTGCACGCGTGATGTGTGTCTGTGTATGTGCAATCTGCCTGGGGACTGAGCCACCCTGGGCAGGGCACCCCAAAACCTGGCCAGAGAACCCCAAACCCCAGGTAGGGCACCCCAACCCCTGCCCAGCCCCACAGCCCCTCATCCCCCACCCACAACCAGCAGCTGCCCGTCGCTGCCCAGTTCCTGCCAGTCCCTAACTGGGCTCAGACCAAGACGATTCCAAGGAGGACCCTGGAGCAGCCCCAGCCCCTCATGGGCACCAGGAAAAGGTTGGCACAAGGCTGAAGCCAGGTTTGCCGCAGGATCCGACGGATCCATTGGATACTCGGAGGTGAAGCCGCAAATGGAGCCGGGCAGGAGCTCCGGGGCCCGTCCTGCCGCGGTGCCCGGTGCCCGGCGCGGGAGGTTTGGCAGCTCTCAGGCGATAAAATAGCTTTACACTTTATTAAATATATTAAATCTTAATAATTAAATAGTTATGGAGCAAAGCTGGCTCTGCTGAGCGTCCCGTCCTGGTCGTGTCTGAACAGCCCGGAGCGCGGGGCGGATTTTGGGGTGGCGGCGGGCGACGCGGGATGGAGCCGGAACACCTCGGAGAACACCAAAACTCTGGCAAAGACCCAAAAGGGCACTTCTTTGGGAAGGGGGTGCCGGCTGCTGGGCAGGGAAGGATCAGGCCGCCACGGGACCCCCACCTCGGAGGGGTGCTCAGGCCGTGCTTGACGCCAGCAGCTCCTCATCCTGGGGAGCCCCACGACGTGCCAGGGTGCGGATCCGGCGTGAGCGGGGCGATGCTGCCCTTGGACCATCCTTTCCCGGTGAAATCCATCCCTCTCCGTCGGCGAGAGGCGCGCC